CCTTCAAGGCCCACCCAGATCCCTGGGCCATACTTTAAAAATCATCCCAACAGACAATGAGGAACTTGGCCCATTTCATTTGTGTCTTTCCAAGCCCAGGGCTGCTGTAATCTGTGATCTCTTACCTTCACTCTAATGACATGTTTTCTGCTTGTCTTTATTTCAGCCCGATAGCCCTTCATCTCATGGTACAAAGTTCAGACAACACTTCTGACATGACCAAACTTATTCTTTTCCCTTGAAGACATTTCCCTTCACTCCTCATGGCGTATAAGCTAAGGAAACCAAGAGGAAAAATGTTTGTCTGTCTTAGCCTGTCTGCAAAGAGGAGCAATACGGCAAGAAATTGGACTGAGATGAATTTTCGAAGGGCTGAACTTAATAGCAAAAAGCCAAATAAATCTCAAGGAGTCTATACACAAGACTCGGGGGCAGTGCTCTTAGAAGCTGGTTTATCCTGAGAAGAACATGTCATCTTTTAAAAGGCAGCCTGATGCCAGAGTCAGCAGTTGTTCCTGGTCTTTCCTCCCATCATTTCTCACGTACAGTACGGTAGGGTGCATCACCCATAAGCTGCTGGTTCAGGACAAGCTTCATAATCATCTCGTACCTAATCCTTCACCATCACGCTGGTTGGGATGAGAGAGGGAGGAGAGAAGGATGGACCCGCCAGGCTTTCAGGCGCTCACATGAATAGCTTCAAGCCCCGGCAGGACAAAAAGGAAAGAGCAGGGGAGATAAACGGCCTAGAGATGCTCTGATTCTATTTCAACTTCAACTTCGTGTCCTGAAGCCAGCAAGCCTGTTCCAAATGTGCTTTTTACAGAGCATCCCAACACGGGGATGTTCCTCTAGTTTTCCTCCAGAAAAACAGAACTATGAAATAGTATTGCTTTGGGGAAAAAAAGCCTTCTTCTCCTTTTAGCTTCTTACCAAAGAAATACATAGTCATACTAGAAATCTTAGTAAATACAGATAAGCCAAAAATGGGGGGAGGGAAAAGAAAGGAAAATCATCTATAATCCTACCAATACATACATTTTTCCTTTTTCCCAAACTAGAATGGTCCTACACGTAATCTTCTATGATCTGCATTTTTCATTTAACAGAAAATCACAAAACATCGTCAGTTGCCATTAAGAATCCTTCCAAACTACTCTTCATGACGGTTCTATTGTGTTCCTTAGGACCAAAGTTTATTTAACTGAATATCTAATGGTAAATATTTGGGTTGTTCCCCACGTTTCACAATTTTGATAATGTTATAGGGGACATTTTTAGAGCAGTCTTCACATGTTGCCAAGATTATTGCGTTAAAATAAGTTCCCCCAGGTAAATAATATTATGCACATTTTTGAGACTTTTGCCACGTATCCACTTTTCCTGCCAGAGAAGTCGTATCAATGAAATAACACATTCCTATTTTCAGGAGATCACAGCCAGTTTCTTCCATTATTTTCTTTACCTCATTGTGAAACTAACACATGTGATTTATTTACCCAGTCTGGGAAGGTGGGTTAGGCTTTGCAGCTTTTGGAGAAGCAGAAACAGGAATAAGAGAGTGCTTTAAGCATCTGTTCAAGAAAACATGGGCTGTTGCTGGCGATTCTCTCCACCACTTAGAGACCCTCAGAAATCAGGATTTACAAAAGAAAATTTTTTCTTTCTCTTCCTTTTTTCTGTTTATAAAAGTTACACAAGCTCAATCTAGAAGATTTGAAAAGTAAAGAAGATCACTAAACACCCTCCAAATGACCACAAGCCTAGTTAGCACTAGGAATATTTGGGCAGATTTTTACTTTCAGTCCTTTGTCTTTACACATGTGTCAATGAATAATACCTTCCATTTTTGTAGTCCTGTTTGTCTTGTTTTGTCCTATATCAAGGGCTTTCCCAGCCTTCCCCCACCTTGGTCATCTCTAACTCCTTCAGAGGGACACAGGCAAGGTGGCTTGCCCGGCAAGGAGAGGGCTTTCTCAGCCTAGCCTCCAGGAGGGAAGTCACACATGTCTCTGGCTCCAGCCTTCTCAACACTCCTAACTGGACCTGCCTCTACAAGAATCTATAAGCCATTAGCTGGGGCTATATTAAATCCAGAAGAGTTCATCCCTAAGACCTCAGCTTTTATTATCCTGGGTCGATATAATAAACGACCATCTGAAGAATGTTTCTGCATCATCTGCAGAAGTCTTCGGAGGGAGCGCCTATCATGTGCCTCACCATCCTTACACTGAGAATCTCGCGATAAATTTGTGCTCACAGTGAATGTCAGGGAAAAGTTGGCCTCTCCTGACAAATGGCTCTGCTTCTTTTTATCCAACAACTCATCACATTTCTCCTTTCGCTTTAGCTCAATTTAATGTACAATTGCGGTACCTATCTTCTGCTAGGTTTCTGGTTTAATCATTTCCTCCCTTTATCCGGATGACTTTGGAGATTTCACTTATAATTTCACTGTCCTGGGGACTCAGTTTTTAAGTGTCAGAGATCTCAAATTTGGTTGGGAGTTAGCAGCAACACAAATTATAAGTAAATAAACAGTAATCTTGACACCTTAGCCATCTCTTTAAAGCCATATCTGCCTTAGTAATTAATCATTTCCCTTCATTAATTCCAAGTTCCTTCCTGGTATTTCTAGGCAACTGCGCCCAAAGCTATTATAAGATGCAGTTGGGTATATCAGACCTGGCTGAGAGGAATGAGATTTTTTTAGGAATGAATTGCTATATGTTGGTGTCACTTAGTCCTCTCCCTATATAACTAAAGTCCTGGTAATCGTCTCTGAGCGAGCACGGCCTCTAGCTGATATAACAATAGATTATTGCCCCACAAGGATGATAGCCACGCCACTTCCACCCAGCCCACTTGGCAGTTGATGAAGTGGAATGGAGAGATGGGCTTCTTGGAAGTGTCCTGGGACCCAAGGAAGGGGACAATATTGTTTCTGCCTGAGCCAGTTCTGTAATTTACATTTCTTTCCCCTGGAAGCCCCACCATGGACTTTCTTTGGTGTGTGTCTCCCCACTGTCGTGTATGTCACCTTGATAATATCTCTATCTCTCAAATCCACTCCTCCCCCCATCAGGGCTCATTCTTTAGAGACCACAGTTCTTCATTCCTCCCTGCAACTACGCCCTTGCCAAGGCCTCAACATAGGCAGAGTGAACATCCCCACTCCTTGACTTTAGGCTTGGCTCAGTGACTTTCTTTGGTCAATGGAATGGGGCAGAAGTGACAGTTGCAAGCCCCAAGAGACCTGGTGAGCTGTCACTTGTTCCCTGTGCTTTTGTCACAGCCATGAGGAGAACTTCTGGGAAACTGCTGCTCCTTCAGCCTGGGGTCCATATGAAGCAGAGCTTCCCCAGATGACTCAGATCTGTGCGCAAAATAAATGCTTATTATTGTATGCCACTGAGTTGTTGTGGTTGTTTGTTATGCAGCAAAAGCTGACTGATACACTCTGTGATGGATCTTTCCCAGAAGATCTAGATCTTGCACTTGTCCTTATCCTTTTGGCCTTGATTCTTAAGATGGTTTCATTGATTCATAAGTCTCCTGGAAACTAGACTTCGTCTCTTTGTATGGTGTCCCAGCCTGTCTCTAGGATCCCAGCTCAGGTAAGAGTTTTGGGCCTCCTGCTTCTCCCCCAGGCCTGGAATCTCTAGGATGTCCTAATAATGAGTAGGCATTGCATGTGTGCATTTTAGTGTTTTGAATTTGAGTTCTTGACACCAAAAATATTTAACAGTTAACAGTTAACATTTGCTGAACATATGCTAACAACCTGCCAGGCCCTGCATTAAGTACCTAAGGTGTTATTTCCAGTACCACCAGGTTTGTTATCACCTTTGCTGTACTTGTGAAGAAACTGATGAGCTCAGAGACAACTTGCCAACATATCATAGTCACATAGAAAAAGAAATTAAATTGATGTCCAACTCCAGAGTCCACACCATGCTGTTTCCCTTTTATTTACCTAGGTTGTGTGAATCACTCTGAGCCCCACCAACTAGGTTGGCAGACAGAGCAGCCTCAGTCATGCTCGGCTCTCCCCTCATCTCTGTTCTCAGAGCCAGAAAGCCTGGGGAGGAGCCAGGTCCTGGCTCTGAGAAGCAGCCACCTTTGCCGTTGCTCCTTTCCCCCATACCAACCCCACCCCCCACAGCAGGTGGCCTCCTAGACAGGAACTGTGACAGGAGCCTGTACAGTCCCATATAAGCCCCCCTGTGCCATGTCCTGCCATGCGGTAGCAAGGCCTTGGAGAGCCATTCTGTGGCCAGTGGAGGCTGGAGAACTCAGAGGCAAGGGAATGATGGATACTCAGGGAGGCCTTCCAGAAGCTGCAGGGAGGAGTTCCATGTGACTTGCAGGAAATTTGGATCACCCTTGCTCTTCAAAGGCAATGCCTGAGCATTGCCCCGCCCCCCCACCCACCCTCCACCAACTGCTGCCAAAAACCACTGAACTACAGCAGGGCAGAGCTGGGTATGGCCCTCAAGAACTTTGGTTACAGGTGGGGAAACTGAGGCCCATTTCTTTACAATGTAGCATCCATGCCTCACTTTCCAGCAGCAGCAGCAAAAGTTACACTGCAGGGGCAGCACATTGGGCCCCTTCTTAAGGCTTATTACAACCTTTGTCTTTAATTTAAGATTATATCCCTTAATCCTAATTCTGCATTTTGTGCACTTGGTACGATCAATATGCTGATTCATTCAGCTGAGACTGAACATGCCAGACACTATCCAAGCCCTGCACCACTGAAGGTGGCTCCCATTCCTTTAGACGTTTTGCAGAGCTTTTGTTTAGCTATGTGGGTATATCTGTACCGTGAAAACCCAGGGGCCAGGTGATTGCTCCTCCCAGAGGTCTCTCAGCACAGGACTGTGTTTCTGAGCAGACATGGGCCAAGGTCATCCTGAAGGGAAGGGGTCCCCCCACTTTTGCTCATTTCCCACATCTTCATGAGTCTGCTTCCCACCTGGTGATGAGGTGTCTTACCTGAGAGATGGTGTCGTTGCCTAAGAGACTTACTCCTCACAACGGAGACCAAAGGTAGGCTCTGTTGCTGGTTGAGAATGCTTCATCTATCTTTTGTTGATTGCCTGGGAGCAAAGAGAAGAGAGAATTCCTCCATTCACATCTTTACCCCCAGCGCCTCCATCCATCCCTCCACAGTGGGCTGCTGACCTACCCCAGATCCCTCTCAGAGAAGGAGGCAGAGATTTGCTCAGGAAAGCCCTCAGAGGTCACCACCCCAGCTGTCCCTCAGCAGGGACATGTGTACACCTCACTGCCTTTCGACAGATCTGGGGAGCTGACAGCCTCGAAGTCCTCTGGCTTTCGGAGCCACCCAGTGCCTCTCTCACCGCTCCTCAGATAGGTGTAAATTGGTTCACAAATCCTGCAATTCGTTTAGCTCATGCTCCAGTGAGTTTCCTCGGCGATTTTCTGGTTTATTGCCGGTTGCCTGGTTGCTAAGATTCCTTGTAAATTGCGTTGCCCTCTGCTCTGCTCTGCTCTGCCATTCGTCCAGGCTCGACGTGGGAGCTGTTGTCCCGGCATTTGCCATGTGCCAGTCGTGAATCTCTAAAGCCATGGCTCTGCTGCAGGCAGGTCCCCCACCTGCACGGCAAGGAGGCGGCATAGTGGACAAAACCCCAAGGGCACAGAGCTAATTTATGCCACTAGGCAGAACTCATCTTTCTTGCCTGTCTCATTCAAGAGGAAGAATCAATATATTGAGGTGGTGGGATTGCTCAGTGCTCTTGAAATGTTTCTAGACACCACCTCATCACACCCTGGGGACTGCAGGTGATTGAAAGACAGACAGGCGGCCCTCCTCTAGCACTACCAAGACAGATAGATAAGATGTGACTGGGAAGAGGTGAAAAGTGCAGGCTCTAGTCAGAAAATCTAGGTTCAAATGCAAGCTCTGCCACTTCCTGGCTGTGTGACCTTGGATAAGTTATGGAAGCTCTCTGTGTTTTAATTGCTTTTCTCTTAAATAAAATTAACAAAAGCATCTATTACATTGGATTGTTGCCAGGTTTAAATATTTGTAAAGTGTAGTCCCTGGCATATAGTAAGTGCTCAATTAATGTTAACTATTATTACTATTATCATCAACAACATCCTCATCCCAAAGCAGCATGCCCAAAGCCAGTGAATGCCGCACCCTTCGCAGCCCTTCACCCAGCTGATCTGTCTCCGTGCTGTTGTTAGTCTGACCACTCCTTTGCCTTGGTGTTTCTTGTTAGTTCCCTCCATTGCCTGTCTTCCTCTCCAGCTCCCTCTGGTTAACACACTGGTTTCATATTTTCTTGCACTCTTTAATTAGGAGAGGCGAGCCCACTCGTCATAACCAAAAGAGGGGCCCAGGCTTTCAGTGCCACCTCTTCAGAGCAGAATTGTAAATTACACATCACGTTTCTATAGATGCCATATAGTTGTATAAATTATAGGCAATGTTTTTATAGTATATATATATGAACCTTTATATAGATGAAATATTTATGTGGATCCCTATAGAAAGGCTAATGTACATTCTCCTGGCACAGATTGTTTCTCAAACGTCCTCAGCATCCACCAATGGCCAGCATGCTGATGGAAACATTGCTCCATACTGACCTTTCTCTTAGCTAGCTTTACAAAAGAGCTTTGCAGAATCTTGGGGGCTTAGAAGTGTCCACTTGCAGAGCCCTTCATGGGAACTCCCAGGTAGAGGGAGCCTTAGTGGTCATCAAACCCAAACTCCTACCACAGCCAGGAGCACTCTTCCGGCAATCGTTAGTCCATGGACACTGCAGATCCACAGAGGAAAAGCCTGTTTTATTGATGGAAGGGCAGATCACAATGACAGTTGTTTTTTAAGTTGAACTGAGATTTGTCCCTTTACAATTCCTCACCCTGCACCTCTTGGACAACATTGGAAAAGACCAGACCTTTTCCACACAACAGGCTTTTCAAACATTTGAATCTGCCCTCCCATCTTTCCTGAGCCTTTTCTTCTCCAGGCTAAATAGCTCAAATTCCCTCAGATACGGTGTCCTGACTCTTCTCCACCCTGGCCGTTTCCCTCTGACCACACCTTGGTGTGTTAATGTGCTCCTCGGAAGGTACCGTCTGGTCTGGGACGCCTTCTTCTACATGTGGTCGGACCAGTCCAGTGGCTCTCTCCTCCCCAACCACAATACCATAATGAATTTAGATTCCTTCTGTAAATCTAAAACTTGAATTGGCTTTTCAGTTGTAGCTTTGATAACCAAAGCCTCTTCAGAGCTTCCTCACCAGGACTTGAAGCTAAGCCATAACTCCCATAATCTGTGCTTGCAACACTGGTCTTTTGAATCTAAAAGTGGAATTTTACCTTTGTTCCTTGAGATCTTAAGCTCAGAATCTCCATTTCCTCAGCAGAGCAGAGATGCATGTGAAAAGGGGGTGGATTCAACACTCCAGCACCTCGAGAAGTTTGAATCATTGCAGTGACCCTGTGCTACTTGTTTCTCTTTCACCAGCATCTATCCTGGCACTGTGTACACAGTAGGCGCTCAGTAATGGCTGAATCTGCCTCCAACATGCCGTGTCACCCCTCAGAGTGTAAGCTCACATATGTGCTGCTTGTGAAAGCTCTCTGAATATCCTCGGGTACCCTGCCGATATCAGTCATTGTGAATATTGCTATTCTTAAGGCTGCTAGAAGCTTGTCAAAGGCAAGAGTCAGAGGTTGTTTTTCTCCATCTCCATAGCAGCCAGAATGATCTCTTTTACACTGTGGGTGCTCCACGGAAGCTGTTGCCTGCTGAGTTGAAAGGAAGGTCTTGCCCAGCATCTCAGACACAGACTTAGAAAGTCCAAATGTGGGATAAAAGTCTCTGGCTAGGGCATGATGGGAGATGAGGGCGTAGCACAAAAGGGGGAAAGAAAGATGAACAGTGGGAGCTATGCTGAATCTTAAGGCATCATTTCCCTAGGGGTCCACACTGGCTTAGCTATGCACACATAACTAGCCACTCTGTGACTAACCGGCTTAAAAGGAACAAGAACTTACTACTGCTCATGAGACCATGGGTCAGCAGGGCAAATCTAACCCAGGTTTGGCTGACCTCAACTAGGCTCAATCGTGGGTCTGCAATCAGCTGGTGGGTCAGCTGGAGGCCCCTCACACACGTGCTAGCAGTTGGCTGGCCATAGGTGGAGGTGATGGGGTAACAGGGCCATGTGTCTCTCATCATCCAGAAAGCCAGCCATGCTTATTCACTTGGAGGTTTAACAGAGTTCCAGGAGAAAAAACCAGATGTGCAGAAGATATTTTGGTCCTTGGCTTGTCACTTCCAGTGCATCCCATCAGCCAAAGCCAGTCACAAGGCCAGCTCGGATTCAAGGGATCAGGGAGGAAAATGTCACATTGCAAGTGTGTATATAGTGGAGCATGAAGAGCTCGGGACATTTTAATCATCAGTGTATCCCATCCTTACTGGCTTACCTGCTTCCATTCATCCATCCTTCCATCCATCCATCCATCCAATGCCCACAAACTGGACACCGACTACAGGACAGGACCATCCCAGGTATTGGAGGTGCGGCTGGAGAATGCATATCTTGGTAACATGAACCCTAGACTTTGGAAGAAAGCCACCACAGAGGCAGATTGGGAGGAGGGCTACCAGTAGCCACAGAGTTGCTTCCACAGGCATGAGTTGCCTCTGTCTTGCTGTGGCCACAGCAAGATGGTCCCTGTGCAGCTGATTCATCCATTTGCATTTGCTTTTGTGACCAGGCTGAACCCTGATGTCCACCTAGCCTTGCTGCTGCTGCTGCCAGAATCCTGAACAATTTACAAATTCAGTCAGTCAATGTGCACACTGCCACGCCGCATGTCAATCCAGCTCTGGCGAGGACATAAACAACCTGACGGGCCTCTTGAGGGCTCAAGATGGCTGGCAGCTTTCATCGGTCACAGAACTCTCCCAGGGTGACTTGGGACAAGGCTGGAACTGCCGGGCTGAGTGCAGCCCAGGATAGAGAGCCCCACGCAGAGCTGTTGGCAGGGCACTGTTATAGCTCAGTTTTATGAGCTCTTAAATCTCTACATTTACTAAAATGAGGGAGCTCGGCAGGAAGATTAAGCACTGCTGGGCCCTTTAAATCATCAGCACCAGCCATCCTGGGGGCTAGATTTGTTTTAGACCCTGGCATGATCTCTGTGTCCAAGACCGAAGGAAATGTGCAGTGGTTAAGAGCTTGGGTTGCTTGCCAAGTTCTACCACTTATTAGCTCTGCGACCTTGAGCAGGTGACAAAACTTCTCTGTGCCTCAGTTTCCTCTTCTGTAAATGGGGCTGTAAGCACTTCAGAGGGAATGCCTCAGGAAGTTCAAGTATGCTGTTAGAGGATCCAGGGACTCAGGGGGCTCTTGGTGGTTTCCAGTGCCAGGCAGAGCCCCTCAACTCCCATCTCACCCTGGAATGACATGGAATTACCAGAGGCCTGGGACTCAAGTTTCTGTGAAAGCTCTCAACTCTTAAGGGGCCAGAGTCAGAAGGAGGTGTCCTGCTCCAATCTTAGACGACTCAGACCTTGGAATACTCTATAGCCACTCAGAGTTGCCCTGCAGCTCAGAGCATTGACGGGCTGCTTCATGCTACTAACTTGCTGGGTAACTCTGGACAAGTCACTTAACCTCTCTGAACCTCTAAGAGGTATCATAATGCTCCTTGGGGCTTTGGTGAAACAAATGGTGCATCAGAAATGAAAATCCTTTAGCAATTGTAAATCTCTGTGAAATTTATCCATTTGTTCAACAAACTTTTACTGAACATCACAAACCAAGCACTCTGCCAGGCCCTAGAGATGGAAAGATGAGTGAGCCTGCATCCTGGCCTGATGCTCACAGCCATGTGGAGAAGCAAGCAGTCAACAAGCTCCTCACAGGCACACGGTCTAGGGGAGCCAGAGGAGAGGCAGCAAGTGTACCTGCATGTCAGGCAGGCTTCATGGAGGAGGCAAGAGCAGTAAAAGCATGATGACCCAAAGGGCTCAGCCAGGCCAAAGATTCCGGGAGGCGAATGAGAGAGCAGTGGGGAAGGAAAGGCGGGAAGGTGGGGAGCAGCTGCAAGCTGTCTGGCGGGGGCCTCAATTGCAGTGAGGAGGCCAGGGTGGGAAAGGAGAGGGCGCACTCACAGAGGACCTCGTGGGCCATGCCCCAGGGGGCTGGAGTCTAACCTGAAGTTCACAGGTGTCCATCAGCAGCCTCTCCTGTCTTGTCAGAGCTAACTTGTGCTTCGGGAGAGCAGACACATTGGCGGCCCGCCTCGCCTGAGTACTCGCTATATACAGGATGCTGTGCTCCGGGCA